TGTTTTTTTCTTTTCTTTTTAATTTAATTATTTATTTAACAATTGTGCGTTCTTTTTTTTTTTGTGTTTCATACATTTTAAAATATAATTTTTTTTTATTTGTTTCATGTTGTTGAGTAGTTTGTCTGTGAATGAGTCTTATATTATTTCTATTTCTTTCTTAAGTGTATTATACATATTACGGTTATTGTTGCGATTTTCTTATCTATTTATTTTTATGCAAAATAATTCATAAATTCGATAGAATAACAGATTTAATAAATGAAATAAAATAAATATGAACAATTTTTGACGATTGATACTATATGATGCATTGAAAAAGTATAGGCTGAAAATCATCTCGTGGGTGTTTATTTACATGATGTAACTCATTTTGTGACTTGAAAATAAGTGTCGAAGTATGTAACGAAAAAAAATTGACTTCTTTCACCTAGTTTGTCCCATTGATGGTGAGCGACATGTTTAAAAAAAGTCATTTTATCGTCACTGATTACGATAGACATTCCGAAATATTGCTTCTTCCAACGCTATCACACACGGTAATTAATATATCGATATTTCTACATTACAATTCAAGCGACTCTATTCTATTTCATATTTTAATCCCTTATAGGTTGTGTTCAAAGCTTTTTCATTAAAAAGATTCATGTACGAACATTATGCCAGGTTTGTACTCTTTAAGAAAGAGTATAAAAAGAAATTTTAGTGGAATCCGACATTATGAAGTACTTAATTCTAATCGATAGAACAGATTTGATTACTACTATTATGAAGTGATAGTATTCAAAACAATACAATCATTTTGAAATTTTTGATAGATTCAGTTCAAGCGTTCGTTTAGATCAAATTGTACGGTGAAATAGAATAGCTGCTAGCTTTTCCTTAGTAACGACAGAGGTGTATTTAAAATAAATTCGAATAATGTTGATTGATTATATTGCATCGAAAATTGTTGAAGATAAATGCAAAGATCTCGTACAGTTGCTTGCTGATTCGTCAAATATTGGTAAACTTTCCAGAACCATTCAACTAAGTATTGATCGTGCCATGTGACATAGACAAGTGGACGACCTGCTTCAGAAGCAGCCATTAATTTTATGATTGCTATTCGAAACAAATCATAGGACCTTCTTACATTCTATTGTTAACTCATACCTTTAAGTTGTCTATCACCATTAAATGCACCACAGCCCCAATTTCCAGTAGCAATGCCGAACATAGATTTTTCCATTGATTTCGGAATACGAAAGCATGTGTAAGCTTTGATCAATTCTCGACTCATATTTTCAATAGTGTACTGATCGAGAGAATTCAAATAATTAATTGCATCCATAGCTACGACATGAGACAATTTTCGACCCCAGCTATCTCTTAATAAATACAAGTACATCATCATTATTAATAAGGAAAACTCAGCCTATAATTCACTTGGGTGTTTTATCGATAAAGTTATCTTTAGCTTTGAATGTAGTTGCATAACCACTGTATGTTACATATTGCTCACAGCCAATTAAAAATATACATTCATTCGGCAACATTACTTCACAAATAAGTACACTAACAAGCATTTCGGTACAAATAGTAAAACGTATTTCTTCTTGAACAATGCCTTCATTCATCACACCACCACCCTATAAACTTTCTTGTCAGTTTTTAAACTAATAAAAAGGTTTCTTTACTCACGATGAATTCATTTGCAAAGTCAACTTGTAAAAGACCGTGCATATCTTCGATAGTGGTATTTTTTCTTAGATGAATTTTACAAAGTCGTGCTTGTGATTCAATCCATTTCGGTTTCCAAATATCGGGAAGAGCAAAACGTCGAAAAGTAAGAACACCTTTTGGCACTGATTGTAGAATACCGATATGAAAATAATAATAATAATAATAATAATAAACAAAATGATAGCTACATACTATCTTCAATGATGCGTCGAAAATAATGTAAAATACATTTGAGTTTTTCGAGTTTCCAGGGTGATCCACTTCGCAAAAGACTTTGATCGAAAAGGTAAGAATTTTCTTGAGAAAAAAAAACACTTTGACATTCGTTCTTACTGGATAAAATTGAAACTCTGATAT